TATTTTTTCACCTATAACTTTTAAACGATGCATCGAAACGAAAAATGTACTCTTTAAAAAAATGAAGAACGTTTAATTATGCGCCGAATGGTACCTAAACTTAATAACTTGGTTTAGTGGTGAGTTAGAAAACAACGGCCAACCAACGCTGTTTTTTATCGAATCTGTACAAAACTGAGACAAATTACAATAAATGGCAGTGGAGCTTGGAAATGCGTAGTAAAATTAAGTTCAGGGGTGCCCAGAAGAGGGTTTCATGGCGCCATATTTTTACGGTCTTTTTTTAATGTTTGAGAGGGACAAATTTCGACAGGGTTATGAATTTTCGGAGTAAGGAACAAGGGGAAAACATGGAACAGGCAAGTGTAATTGTATATGAACTACGATTTTTCCAATTCTAACTCAGCTTGCTCTGTTTTTAAGAAAAGAGGAGCAATAAAATATCTTGGGAGGGGGGAGGATAGGTTCTTGTGCCATAGAGCTTGGGGAGGGGGGAGAGGGAGGAGGAAGAAGGTGGACTCACCTGGCTAAGTATATATTCTATGGTAAAACATATATTAAAACTTTTGAAAGGAAAATAAATTACCTACAAAAAAAAAAAAATCACCGGAATCGAACCAATATTAGCGATGACACAGCGTATCCTATTTTCTACACATGTTTAGTATTTTATTTTTTTTTAAGATAATACAATTCCCTACAAAATTATATAAAAAACGTTCATTTCGGACAACTATTAACGAAGTTACAGCTATTCAATTTCGCATATAAGATAACGAGTTCAAATTCGGGAACCAGAAAGGTTTGAAAGATATAGAGAAAAAATAAAAGTAAAAAAATGTAATGCGAAGTATCACTTTCCTTTCTAATTTTAATAGAAATTACTGTCTGACAAAATTGGGCTAATGCAAAAAACTTTTTGATAAGTAACGACGAGACAAAAAACGATGTCTATGGACAGTGTCTCGAGACCTTCCCTAGACGGTCTATAGACAAATCTCGTAAACAATGTTTACTAGTGTGAACTAAGCTCTAGAGAACATCAATAAGAATGAGACCTAGATTATAATAAAAATCACGGAACCTAGTAAGTTTAATCAAAATCGTTAGATTCGTTTTAGAGAAAATGGTAAAAATGTGTGAAGTACTTCTTCCTCATCGTCAATTTTGACGAAAAGGTTGCTGTAATATCCCAGGCATATACAAACCTTAAATACGCAATTTCAGTTTCGTACAACTTATTTTTTCTTTTTTTTTTAGGCTCTTCACATACATACACTGACCATTTTGAGGGACTTGATTATTTGGACTGAGGGGTTCTCTCAAAATGTGTATTTCTGTTGAAAACTCAGATTCGAAATTTTATATTATATTACATATATCGGTAAGTATAAATATATTAATATTAAAGTTATATACCTGAAAGGATGATTGTTCTTTTAATTACTGTTTTTAGCAACATATACAAACAGTAATCTCTCTTAAATTGAATCCTGAATATATTCATAACAATGATAAAGAATTTCTTTTCCTAAATATGCAACAAGGATAAAGAAAGAAGCAAAGGGACATTCAAAATTATGAGGTGATAAATAATATCAAACAAGTTGGCAACAGTTGGTCTCGGGAAAAGAGAACATCAAAAACTCAACTCTAATCCTGGTTCAACTAACTCTATATAAAAAAATATATAATACACATATTTTTTTTTTCATTTCATGAGGAAATAACGTATTATGGTTAAGCAATAATTAATACATGGGATTATTCAATGAATGAATTATAATATTATGTACGATAACCGATGTACTACCTAAGTAACAATTCAATATTTTTCATTGGTTTTTCTTTATACTCATGTCATCCATCCCGCGATTTCTCGCAACCTGAGAAAAAAAAAACTGGGTTTTAGCAAGATGCTTGTTCCCCAGTATATTGGGTTTTCTACCGATTAGAGAAAACAAAGATATCATAAGTAGTTACTAATGATTTTATTTTTAGAATTTCTCTAAAGGAAAACGGCTAAATCAAATAGGACTCCACAGGTAGGTCTTAAAAAAGGTACTTGAATAATTTTTTCGCCATTTGTTAATTTATCTCTTTCGGATTATCGACACCATAGGGTCTATCGATTCTTCAATAAAAATGTTGAGAGGACGAGAATATCATTTGCCCCCTTCCAATAATTTGAAATAAAAGATAAATAAAATGGATAACAAATATTTTATCATTTACATTTAGGGATGATTATTTAGAAACATTTTCTAGGATAGTATGAGACATTCTTTTCTCATGTGTACACCTCCATTTTCCGTGATTTTCTTATAATTTATTTCCAACTAATTTGGAAAAATATATTTAATAAGTATAAGTATAAATATATTTCATAGATAATATTTGTTTAGACATTTTAACATGACAAGTTAAGACTTTGAAAACATTGTATTTTTATTTTAAGATTCTACAAACTAAGAAATCAAAAACATTTTTCGATTTTATTTTAACATCATCATTTTTAGGAGGAAAAATTATAAAAACGTAACTGTGTTATGAAAGCTGTTCCTTCCTTTGTTAATGGCTACCATCTTTTTTTTTTTTTTGTCCTTCGCCCCCCAATCGACATAGAAAGTCCTATGATCGATCCTAAATTAAACTATTTAATATTTAAATAGAATATTGGATTTCTGAAAAAAAATTAAATAGTTAACAACTATCTTTCCAAATGCATAAAAATGAAACTACTTTTTTATTTAGGCATCTCTAATTACTTGAAATCACGGACCATGGCGTATCTTTCAAAGATACAACTCAAGGGTATTCAATTTAATTGATGACCTGGAATTATAAGGAATATATCTCTTTGTAACGCTTTACCACCTGGTCTTTTGTTTTCTTCTCCAATTAAACTTTGTATTCAAGTACCAGGAAAATTTCCGGATACGAAGATCGTGATATGTCACGAACATCATAAACCTAATGGGAAATTAAATGAATTATTTTCTTTCAACGTTTTTTCTTATGATCAGCTAGGGCCATCTTTGAAACTAAACCCACTACCTAAACCTTCCCATCTCCACTACCTAGGGATACCTAAATCAAATGGCTGACGTGACAACTGTCTTGGAAAACTTTCCGGATGAGAGCATACCTGAGAAAAGGAAGTTTCGTTATTGCAGTTAAAATTTTTTTTTGCCCAAACCGTTTTCAAATATTTTGTAGGGCCCAGAGTGCGAAACCTTTTAACTATACTAAGTTTTCTATTGAGATAAATTAACAAAATTGTCTACAGGCATATGATGGTTCTGTACGTATATGTAAGTCATCATCAGGTAAAAATTAAAATTAAATAAGAGATATAAGTTAAGGACTTAAATACACATACGTAAACCGAGAGAACATGATAAACAGTATACATAAATAAAGTTGTTAGAATGCAAATAATGACATAATATTAATTCTTATAATGACACACAGGCAATAAACATTAATCAGTTATACAAGGATCAACATAAATCTTTACAAAAAATGTATGTGTCCGGATTTCCGGAAGTTACTCACATCACATGTCTCATAGAGAAATTACAGAAAAATCTGCTATTAATAATAATGCATTATTAAATATAAACAGAATTTTTACAAACATTCAATAAGCTATAACCAAATTATTAATCAGGTAAAAATTAACATATTTTTAAGCGTCAATGAATATGTTTTTAGATGTCTCAGATTGTTTCTTAAGTATTTCAAATTTCTTAAAATTAAGAAAAATCAGTTACAATATTAATTGATTATAATAAAAGCCTTCAAGAGACCAAGGAATAGTTTAATTTTGACAGGCACAAAGAAAAGATTGAAAAATTAAATTTATGTTAAAATAGCATAAACAAACGTGTTTTTTTTTTCTCGCAATGACAGCAAAAATATAAACCACTAATAAACAACAGTAAAAAAAAAATTGTTTATTGTAAAAACAAGACGCCAAGAGCTTTGAATTTGACGTGAGTTTTCAGACAAAGAAAATAGCTAACATTCAATAGACAAAACAAACACAATTAAATAAAAAAATGATCATTGGTAAATTATAATAACATGGCTAAATCAAAATAAAATAATTTCATTAGAACTAGGATTAAAATAATTAAACTTTTAATTAAATTTTCGTAAATTATTAATTACAACCTCAATAATTGTCAATAAATATAATATGAAAACATAGAAACACGACCAATAGATGAACTAATCTAATATATCCAAACTTGATTTAATTCCAATTAATACAGAGGCTAAGTACAAAGTTTCTTCACTCAAACAAACCATTATCCCTTAGCAAAATATTAAATTTGTCAGAATGGTACTTGGGTTTTAGTTGGGTCTACCTGTAAGAATCGGAATCTGAATATATTTATTAAACATTACAAGACTATCCGAACAAGAATTGAAAAATCAAATATCAGATATAAATATATTGAAATCTTAATGTTAATAATGAATCTTACGGAGTTAAAAGATGCAAAGGGCGGGAGGGGATGTGACATGAAGTATTGATTATATGGACTGACAAAAACTGGGCTAAACGGCCACTCAGTCGAATGCAGCATAACCTTCTCAAATCTAACAAATAGACAGGCCGGTAAAAATTTAAAATGACTACTTTAATTTATTGTAAGTTCTTACATCTATAATAAAAATAACCTAAGTACAGTAATAGTGATGTACATCGGCTCGAGTAAACTTAACCTCAATGGATTTCTTGAAGTAATGGTTGACAATGTACTATTAACACAAATAAGCCTTTGACAAAGCCTTTCTCTAAATTACAGCAATTAGTAAATAGAATACTTTATTCAATAAACTCTAATATCACTCTTATAAAAGTTTTAAAAAAAAAATCACACCAACCACAGCGAGATGTAATACACACTCTTTAAATTAAAGACTTCAATAATATAAAGACATTTTTTTTTTCTTTAAATATAAAGCATGAATGAAAAATGACTTACCTCTAAAAAGAATAACAATGGTGGGCCGGGGTCAGGTGTACGAAAATAGATTTCTAGGCAGTGATTTAGTGAATTAATCTCGGGAACCACTTTAATCTTTTCATAACCGAAAATGTCCGAGACTTAAAATTAATAAGTGACGCGTCACAGATTCAGTTAAATTTCAAAACAAATTCACGAATACTCAAAGCACGGAAAGAACAGAGCTCCAACATCCCTCCAGGGAGTTTGCTTACTCCTGTGTGGAATGAGAATGTTGATTTTAATAGTTAGCTGAGGTCCCGCTAGAGCTCGAAGGTACCGCCCATTTTCAAATCAGCCAATCAAATGAGCCACATTTCATACTATAATTTAGTTCTGTCTAATTTTATATCCCCATAAACTTTTTTCATATAAATATTAATTTTTATTAAAGTTTAATTAATATTAATTTTTTCATATGCTAAAATATAATAAATGACATGAAATGTACTGAGTCTTTATATTATATACACTTTTTTAAAAATTATTATAAAGTTAAGAAAACACTATTTATGCCTCCTACATTACTGCTTTGGAATTAAAAGTTTTTTTTTATAATAAAATAGTACAAATATATTAAAAGACCTCTAAAAATGGAGGATTCTTATTCATATACAATCATTAACTTATTGTTCAAAATCTATTATAGTAGTAAATTTCAAGTTTTCATATGGACTATATAAAAATACTGTAAAGTACCACTCTTATTAAATGAAAATCATTTTTTAAAATATGAAAATTTTCGAACAACTATAACCACTTATTATTATATATAGTGTAACCAATTATGTCAAAATAAAGCACCATAATTTCAATGTTAAGCTATAAATTTAAATAACAGCTTGAAAAGTTCATTTTCGCCTGTCCTTTGCCTCTTCACATTTAGGGATTCTACTTCATAAACAAATACTAATTGAATTGTAAATCATTATGAACTAATTAAGTGAAAACCACTTTGATATTTTATTTTTCTTCTATTATTTGATGTTTCAGCCATACATAAACTTTATTAAGACAACTTATAAATGACGTTTTACATTTCAAACACTGTAATACTTTGACTGCTTATCCCACTGTACTTAAAAAGTAATTTTAAAACAGTTAAATGGTGTAAAAATTATATTTTATATTAAATTGACTCTAATCTTTATGATTTATAAATTGTATATTATATAATTACTTAAGGTTTATTGATTATCATTTTCTTTAAAATAATAAAATTTAAGAACTACAAACATTTTGTTTTTATATAATCTCCTCTCCTAAATTAGATGAATGAGTCTCGACCAAAATTATTAGCCCTGCCACTGCTCTGGTGGGCTATAAATTTGACTTAATAGATGAATAAATTGTTTACTATCACTTATTTTCAGGATCTTGGGAGATATTGAAGATAGGGGAGCTGAAGTTGCTTTACTCTGATTTCTTGAAGTACTTTCTTCATGCATCTTACTTATTTTATTCAATCCCATCATTCTCCTTCTTTTGTAACTTTTTCAAACCAAATATAAAATTCAATCTTATTAGACACATTTTTACTGTTCCAGTAATATATTTCTGTACTTATAAATTGTATAGCTCAATGAAATAAAATTAAAGATGTAAAAATTAAATAAAAATAATAACAGACATGTATATAATAATGTAAGTTGTTTCTGTAATAGAATTTCTTGAAACTGGGCAGTCAGTTTGAAATGTCGACAACTGATGAATAAATAATGAGATGTTAGAAGTTATTCAAATCCCAAAAACGTATCATAAAGATAATAATCAGAACTTTTGGATGAGTTAAAATAGTAATTAGATAGAAATATTACAAAATGTAGATTTTATTAGTGCAACCTGCAGTTGACAATCTTTAGCATTTGCAATAAAGTGTTTGAGAGAGGTTTTAACTTATGGATATCTCAAGGAATTATTTAGGTATGAATGATCAAATAAAAAGAAAAAGACCAATGCTGAGATTGTTAGATGGTATGATTAATGAAGGCACTTCCTTAAGATATAAGTAACACATTATTGTTTATTTATATTAAAAATATGTTTGAGAAAAATGATCAATACCCTTCACAATCTAATTAGATAGATTAGAATACTTTTTTAATTATTAACTATCATAAATGAAAATTTCATTGTAATTAATCTTGAAAATATTAACTATTATTTTGATAAATTATAATATAATATTGAGAAAATACTGATGATGGAGCACTGCCCTGAAATGTTGAGTATGTAACCAAGTTATAAAAAAATTAAGTACTAGGAGGAAAAAGTAGCTTTCACAAACAAAAATGTTATTATTATTTTAATTAAGTAATACTTTAAAGGTTTTTTCTACAGTGGATGGAAAGGAATATACTGTATGGAATTACTATGAATTCATATCTGGTTTTGACTTCCCCAAATATATTTGGTGTTAGAAAGTTCATATAAAATAGTTAAATAATAATACTGAATCGGATAGGCAGGATCATTTTAGATTTATAAAAGTTCACAATTGATAAAGTAAGTAATTATTTCTTTGTCATATTTGATAACTAACTTAGCCCAATACAAAAGAATTCTGAAATATTTTAGATTTCTATAAATAATTTTTCAATTTCCTATTGAAAAAGAGCAAAAGCTTTTGTCCAAACAAAGCAAGTAACTTCCCATAAGCTGCATCATCACATCCTTTCCTTCATAACGAAAAATTATTAACACCCAAATAGAGTTTTTTATAATAAACAAACTATTTGTAAAACCTAAGGAGTGAGGTAGCTCAGTGAGTAAAGCAATACTCATGCAAGGAAGTAGGTTTCAATCAGGTTGTGGCAAAAAACTTATTTTCTCTTAGTAATAGGGTGTATAAAAAAAAAATGACCGTTTTATCAAATTCAAGATTTCAAAGGACTGTAAATATTGTAATCCTACATACCAAAACTTAATATTTCCTTTAGAGTATTCTCTAAGCTTGTTTAATCCCATCCGACTTCTTAAAAAATAACCTCAGTTTAGTTATTTATTGGCTTCAAAGAAGAAACATGACAGTGTCCTATGAAATTCTCATAATTTTAAGGCATTACTGGAGAAAAAATTAACAAGCGCTGAAGCAACTCATGAAATTATTAAATATGAAGGGAAAGGTGTCCTTGACCAGAACACTGCGCAGCATTGGTTTGAAAAATTTAGTAATACGACAGATTTAGAGATACGACAGAAAGGAAGAAGGATTTCGGGCGACCATCAATGGATATTGATGTGATTCTGCTGGAAGCTGTTGAATCAAATCTGTCCATAAATACTCGTGAACTTGGCATGGAGTGCGGTGTGGTGAAAGATACTGTTAGTTGCCACCTAATCTCCATAGGGAAGGTGAAAAAGAACAGTAGACTTGTCTCTCATCAACTTACTCCTCAGCAATCAGCTTCTAACCTCTAGGTTAGAAATTCGTGAAAATTTATTGAAAAACTCCTCCTGCCTCATCCACCATATAGTCCAGACTTAGCACCATCGGATTACTACTTATTTAGATCCATGGCCCATTTTCTTCAAGGGAAAAAAATTGACAATTTTGCAGAAGTAGAAATTGCTGTTCAAGAGTTCTTTGACAGCCCATTCAACAAATATTTGGCTGAAAACGGTCTTTTTTTTTTTTATACACTATTAATTTGAGAAATTAAGATCTTCTATTAATCATTTTATTAAGTTGGTGTTTTGGGTTAAGTCTATAACTTCAAATCATATATTACCCTGGTCATCTTCCCCCACTTTGACTGCAGCTGTGTGGTGTATGATAACCTCTTGGTGGAACTACGTGATAGACTGAAAAGATTAATGAATAGCTGCGTAAGATTTGTTATTGGTGCCCCGAGGTACTCCCATGTCTCTCACCACTACACTGAGTTAATGTGGCTCTTCCCTTCCTTCCGAAGACAATATTTACTTGGTATGTTCCTCTATCAAATCATCAACAATCATCGTCCTTCTTACGCCTACGACCTTCTTCAATTCAAGTCCTCAGTCCGTTTCCTTCCCACAAGATTTCAACCTTCTGACCTTTACAACCCTTATCACAGATCTGCCTCATTCCAAAACTCCTTTATTGCTCGGTCTGTTAATTTCTGGAATTCCCTCCCTATTGAAATTTGGCATTCCCCTTCCATATCTACATTTAACACCCTCCTATTCCAATTCCTGTCCCAAAAACAGTCAGGCAACTTTTGCAATCAGATTCAGCTTTAGTTTTCTTAGCAGAAACAACGAGTTTATTTTAAAGAAGAATTTAATGTATTTTTTCCCTAAAAGTGTATATTTAACTAATGTTTTCTTTACAAGTCAGGACATATGGAACAGTAAGGTCTTCATAAATGATTTAATTTGTGGCAAAATATGGAACATTAAGGATTTTACAAATAATTTTAGATCATAAGGATTGGTTACAATAGAAATTCAAAGATTTGGTGGAGCCCCAAAACTCAACTCCGAACTTCCTTATAGGTCTTATTGTAATCATGTAAATGAGCCTTAAGTAATTAATTTAAAGTTCAGAGCATTTGTCTAGTACGTGTTGGAGCAGCCAGAAACATCTAGCAGTTTCTTGTCATTTCAGCCTTGTACGCGGATTTCAAATAAGACATTTGTCCAAGTGGAGTCTTAGGTAATGGATTTATTCAACAGAGATAAGAGAAATATTATTGAAGGATACTGTAGAACAAGTAATATAATAGTTTTATGATAGCCATACTAATAAATGCAGGACAACTTGTCCAGGGAATATGATGTCGAATGGACTAAGAAAGAGTGATCCACTGTTCCGAACACTGTTTCATTTCGTCTTGGAAATAGCAATGATGCTCATGAATAGACTAACACAGCTCATGCAGAAAATGTGGTTATCACAGGCAGAACACATATGGTATTTAAGTTCTTTCCTAGAATTCTAGCAAGTAAACTTGTTATTGATATCAATACCAACATAACCAAATACATGAGATTCTCCAAAAAATAAAATGGCTAAATAACCCAAGCAGTGGAGTTTGAGATAGGACTTTAAACAATGTAAACAATTTTAAGTTTCTGGGGTCAACTGTCACAGGAAAAAAAAAAAAAGGTTATAAAATTAAGGTTAAAACCTGGCAGTAAAAGTTTGAATCAACTCCAGGAGATATTTGTAAAACCAAAATATATTCGACATATAGCAGAAATGTGGTTTTGATCACAAGAAAACAAAAAAAATTAATAAGTTTGAGGAAACGAAAATGGCAATTAAAAAAAAAAAAATCAAGAATTATAAGAGATGTACTAATATGGCAAAAAATACGATAATTGGAATGCCAGAGATTCGGAAGATCAACCACAATAGGAGAACCATGTCTGAGATCAGTTGACGATGTTGAGGGTGACTTATATCGTATGGAGTGAGGAGATGGAGAAAATATGAAGCTCACAAAAAAGAGTGGACAAGGATGTCATATCCAAAAGATCTATAGGGGCTG